ACCTCTAACAATGTGCTGTTGCTATTTATACCAGAATAAATAATAAGCTTACTGTTTCCATAGAATGACAGTAGAGCTAATTAAGTACTGCTTATTGCAGCTGAACTTTAAAAGTACAAGGATACTTGCTATAAAAGAAGGAACACTGAGGAGCAAATAAGCTCATAGGTATAGCCCAAGAGAATAAAAGGTCAGTGTTTGCCAGTTGCTATTGCAGAGTTTCCACGGTTACATGGAATTCACTTTTTTTCTAATCCAGAGGAAATCTGAGGGAACCTCAGATACCATTGTGTGGTAACTGCTGGCAAACATTACAGATTTTATCTCAACCACTGGCGTACTAAATGCTTGCATTTCAAAATCAACTTTTCATTCAACTTTTTCTTTAACTTATTCCTCCAAAGTACCAGCCAATGCATAGATTAATAAATAAATAAAACTCATTTACACATGCCATACTAACTTTATATAAAGAAGTTTAGGAATAGATACCAAACACATATTACCATGTAATGAATAAAAAAGGTCACTGAGTAGAAGAAAGCATTTCAGATGCAGCAAATTAGAAAAGAACCTGAAACATGTTTTAATGAACAGCAAGAGAGCTCAATACATTTTAACAGCTATTTAATGAGTTCCTATTCCAAACAACTCAAGTTCAGGTGAGGCCTGCAGGTACTCTTCAACTTAACAAACTTCCATATAATAAAGTAAGGCTAAGCATAGTCACCTACTTTGGCTTCCCATATAAAATGAAATGCAGAACTCAATGAAATTCACACTTCTAAAAATTAAAGTGCATTGTTTAGAAAATAATCTTCTCAGAATGGGCAGGAATGAAAAATACATTACAATTTTTCAGTACACAGAGAAAGTATATTCTATCAAATTGCTAAGAATCTAATCACAAATCCTAATTCAAACATGCAGCTTTGGCAGCAAATGCAGTAAAAGCTGGGAAAAAAGAGCCTGATTGACAGAAAAACAATGATAAGAAACACTTGTATCTGTACCAGTACAGAATTATTTTCCACTCCACCCTACTTACCTTTGTACAGAGTGAGAAGTATGTTCTGAGTTTTTGACCTTAAGAATGCTCAACTTTAAGTTTGGATCTGATTATCATTATTAACACATGTTTTTACGCGCTGGTCTTTGATCAAAACTCAATACTACTACACTTTTTATCTTCCAGAATCGATGAAGGCTGCTCATCCGGAACAAGTAGGAACCAATGACTAGAGTATCGCTTGTAGCTATAGTTACCACTGCAAATTTTTGTTACATAGATAAAGAGAAACTAGTTCAAATGTGGCAAATAACATGCCAAGGTCAAAGGAATATTCCTCTTGGCTCCGGTTTTAACTATTAGCACACCAAGTACTGCAGTCCTAGCTGTTCTTCAAGTCTCTTCTCAAATACATGATTTCATCAGCACAGATGAAAAACATAGAGAAGAATAAAATGATTTTATGACGTTCAGGTTATAATTAGTTCTGCATCTGATTCTGTATTAACTATATTAGTGTTACAATAACACAATTTAGAAGTAATCCTGATGTGGTATTGCTAAAACCTTGCAAAGCTTGCTGAACTATCACCCCAGTCCATTGGGATATCCAATACAGTATATAATAATACACATACAACACCCAGCTGCACAGAAACAAGTATTGAATGCTAAAGATACTGACAAGGATCCATTGCAATAAATTCTTAATGAGAAGATTGTCTCTCGCAAAAAGTTATAAACCACCAACACAGTGACCACTGTGTAATATCACTAAGGTGACTAGTGTAACTGGCTGCCTGTGGTTATAGGATGTCTGTATAGTTACATGTAGATAATTTTAACCAAGGATCTATGACTTCTGATATGTTCTCTGTGGTAAATCTGGTTGGTTTATATAATACATGTGTATTTGGCATTTTTTCTTCCCTGTTTGGTCTACTAGACTGCCTCTTAATAGTCTGCAAACTGTAGTGGACATACACTTTCACTTTATAATAATTTTAGAGAAAGAGGCATCCCACATATAGAATCAGAAAATTAGTTACAGAATGATTCTAAGTGTAAAAATAAAGAGTATTAATAGATTGTTTTGATTTATCACTTACATGTATAAATTCATACAGGTTTGGTGAAAAGTCTTAGATTTCTTTTGCATAATTTCTTGTTATCTACAGAAATCATACTTCATAATCATATTGCTCAAAGTGTTCTCCCTAACATCTCACTTAAGAATCTCAGTTTAAAACGTTAAATTGTATTGATATGATTATAAATTTCAAAGCTTAGTGAGAAAGGTAAGAAGTCTTCTAAATATAAGAAGTAAGAAGTTTTCTAAACATACTGAGACTTTCAGAGCATAGTCCATTGGCATTTGAGAATCAGGTATGTTCTTCCAAATTCACACCATTTGTGGAATGGTAAAAGAAGAATGCAGCAAGCTGTTTCACTCAAACTCTGATAAAGAATGCTATTTCTGAAGGCTTGTCTGAAGAAAGGAGGCTTACGTTCTAGATTTGTACCCACATTATGAGAGTTATCATGTCACCCTGAATATTTCTACATTTCACTATGCTTCTAAACATGAAAGCAAGATAAACGTGGGGCTGCTGCTTCTGATATGCAAAGTCCTCAGCACTACCCAGCAATACTTGTGTAAGTTCAGTAAAATTAATCACATTTTTTAATGTTTATGAAAACAATCACTCTTTGAGAACATAATACAGACACCTACCATTTTTTTGTGACACGCACAACTTGGCAGATGCTTTAGTTTAGGCTTAGCAACTTTGAAAAAGCTATTCTAAGAAATACCTTACCCACTTAAACATTAGCGTATTTATCATCAGTGAGCGACGATTCCTTCCGCTGCAGGTTAGGGCTGGATCGGCTCAAACCAGGATACCTTCAAATCTAAAGACTCCCAAGGAGGTCTCATAGTCATGAGGCCACTGTAACAAGCAGGGCAAGGAGTACGGAGTGCTACTAAAACAATGTTTTGCCTGGTTTTACTGCATCCCTCATCATAATTCTCCTAGAAACACTTGGGGTATCTGCATTACCTTTTTTTAGTACTCTTTCATCATTCCTGCCATCTTTCTTCACACTGTTGTCTGTCCTCACTCATCTGCTGACATCTGTCTCTCTTTTTCCCATGTGTTATTCCTTTTAAAATTTACTGTCTTGGCTCCTAACAATTATTTTTCTCTCTCCCCACAAAGCTTATGAGAAATCCCTGAGGAGGAAGTGAAATTAATGGAAAATCTGTTCCAACATATCTGGAGAGCAGAAAAGAAAATATTACAGAATTTTTTAAAAAATATTCAGAGCAGAGACCCGGAGTTCAGGCTCCAGTGTGACAAAATGGAAGGATAAAGAGTCTTCCTAGAGTCATGCCTCAATCTGGGAAAATATCTGCTCTCCCTGAAGCAGACTGCTCTTTGAAATAACAAAAGTGAAAGAAAAGAATTCCCTCTATCTACCGTACAAGCAAACACCTCCGTCATGGTAAGAAAATCATTCAACTAGGCACACACTGAAATACACTTCTAGCATCAATTTATATTTCATAACATATAAACAATTTTTTTTTCCAAATAAATAATAATCAGCAGTTATTCCTTGAAATTATTCATTGTTCTGTTAGGCTATGCTGTGGACTGGAACAGCACTGGTGCAGCTGCTTTCTGCTGACATTAAATAAGCACTTACTAAGGGTAAACTAACCGTCATTCAAAATACAGTCTATATGTAAAGACAATTAAGATTCTGAATTACAGAGATTACAGATGGTTCACTTGAGTTTAAACAAAAACTGATTCTAGGGTTTACCAGCTAGATTGTTATGGCATGTGATTAACTACATGTGAGACTGACTTGCAGTGACCCTAAGAAAAACAACAAGAAAAACACAGCTTTGGGTTTGAATATTCACTTGTAGAATCTATGAACAGATAAATTGTTACATGTACCTCATCCTGGGATGTACCAAGAGAAGCATGGTCAGCAGATCACCCCCTTTACTCTGCTCTTGTGAGACCCCACCTCGAATACTGCATCCAGTTCTGGTGTCCCCACCATAAGAGGGACACGGATCTGCTGGAGCATGTTCAGAGGGGGCCACAAGAATGATCCGGGGGCTGGAGCACCTCTGCTACGAGGACAGGCTGCGGGAGCTGGGATTGTTCAGTCTGGAAAAGAGAAGACTTCGGGGGGACCTAATAGCTGCCTTCCAACACCTGAAGGGAACCTACAGGAAGGCTGGGGAGGGACTCTTTACAAGAGTGTCCACTGATAGGACACGGGGAAATGGGTTTAAGTTGAAGGTGAATAGATTTAGATTGGACCTTAGGAAGAAATTCTTCAGTACGAGGGTGGCAAGACTTTGGAATAAATTACCTAGAAACGTTGTGGCTGCCCCCCCCCTGGGGGGGTTCAAGGCCAGGCTGGGTGGAGGCGTCCCTGCCCATGACAGGAAGTTGGATTAGATGATCTCTAAGGTCCCTTCCAGCCTAGGCCATTCTATGATTCTATGTTTTATTCCTCTTGTATTCAAGGAAACAGGGCTGTGGGTCTGGGTTTTGTTAGTAATGAAACAAATAACTCTTCCCAGTTTCTCACGGTAACATTACGCAAGATCCTGAAAATTCCTCAGGTCAAAAAGAAGTAACATGATGCAAGATTATTTCAGGATAAATTATGCCACTTATGCTGCAGAACTTTTGCAGCATGTATCCTTCACACAGGTACTACAGTGCTGATGGTACTGAAATTTTGCTTTACGGCAGTCCAGTCTTACGGTCTACAGTAAAAGTTTATAAATTGAGAAATTTTCCTCTAGGTGGAAGGATAGAGCAGTCATTTATTCACACAGACTAGTTAAAAAGCACACTGTTAACTAGGAAAAGCAACGGCAGAATTACAGCTTCTCTATATTTTCATGAGTAACAAAGAGCCTTTTATTGTTAGGAGGGACAAAATTCAGACTTACTGTGCATTTGTTCGGCTTCTCTCCTGAATGGACTCTCATGTGAATCAGCAGTTTATAACGGGCATTAAAAGGCTTGTACTTTCGTGGGCACCCTGCCCAGAAGCAAGTGAAGTCCTCTCCCTTCCTCTGGTCTATATGGATCTTCTCTATGTGCTGCACAAGTTCCTCCTGTTGCTCATACAGCACACCACAGTCAACCCAGCGACAGCCATGCTTGCCGTTGAAATCGTCTAGCTCACTATCTTCCTCAAGCAGGGAGCCCGGGGCAGAAGGAGGCAAAGGCAGTGGGTGAACGTGACTGGGGAGGCTGTGTGGAAGTTGGTGCTGGTGAGCATGGTATGGTGGGGGTGGCCCTTGCGGAGGTGGTGGTGGTGGGAGCAAGGGTGGTGGAGGCATGTCAGCTGTATGGTCTGAGAAGTTATCCAGCTGTTCATTTTTCAGGCTGTTGGTGGGTGGCAAGCCATGCTGAATCACCATGTTACCTGTGGCGGCCATCTGCAAGCTGGGTTGCTCAAGCTGCTGCATCCGCTGGTACTCACCAGCCTCACTCTCAATGTACCCTGGGAAGGTGATGCTGCCATTAGCCATGAGAAAGCCTTTCTGGGCAGTTGGAATAGAGCAATTTTGGGGTATACAGCTTCCTCTCACTCCCAGAAAATGTCCATAGACCTCAGGCTGTGGGGAGACATTTGCTGGTGATGTCCTGGAGCTATTCATGTAGGCCACCAGAGAGGTTGGGGATGTACGGATGATTGTATTGAAGTCGATCCCAATGCCATCAGACAGAGGAGACAGAGAGAGTGCTCTCTTTTTGGAACGCGTTGATTGAGACCGGGCTGAGGAATGGCGAGGACTAGAGTAAGGGGAATGCTTATTTTCCATGCCATATAAGTAGGATGGTAACAAGCTAGAGATGCAATTACTGGACACAGAGGTTCCTGATGAAAAATTTAGTAAATCCCCCAGCTCACTGCTGTTCTGTAAACTTTGGTCTGGAGGAATGGAAGGAAGTGTCTTGTACCCTTGCAACCATTCTTGCTTAACACTCAAAGTAGACTGACCTTCTGAGAAGCTTAATGTTGTAGAGGTCAGAGATTCACATGGTAAGAGCGACCTGGAATAAAGGCACAATAAAATAAGCAGTTAGACAGTGGTTCTTCAATCTTCACATGCACTTAAAATTAAGGAAAGACTACACAAGAGAAAAGTTCTATTTTTAGGTACTTTAGCACTCTCAGATAACATACCAGCAGGCATAGACAAGTAATACACATGTAACAAGGTCATTTAGGAAGTCAACTTTAAAATCTCACAATTTTGAAGAAAAGTTGCTGTAAATGTCCTTGATACATCACTGCAGAAATCAATGCAAATTTTTTCATTGACTGTGGTGTAAATAGGTTTGGGCTTCTGAAGTCAAAGCATTATGCTTCTGCCTTGCATGAAACTCATACCAATTTGAATTGACTATTAGTTTTGCAGGCCAAGAATATGAAGAAAACTGTTTAATAAAGAATAAACATTTAACCTGAATGACTTTGCCAGATGCAATGCATACAAATAATATTCTCTACAGAAATACCTCAAGTTTATAAACACAGATGATATGTAACTTTACAAAACAAACAAAATAGATGAATAATGTAGAAGAACTGGTTGAAAAGGTCTATTTAGTTTTGATTTGATGATGTATTTCCTCCAAATCAGCAATCAAAATTTTTCAGAAAAGTGTAACCTTGCTGTTATCATTCATTTTTCACCGAAATATTATGACTCTTTTATGTTGCATATTCTAAGAGTAGCTTAAAAAGAAAACTCATAAGGTCCTAATAATATTGTTCTATACAGAAGGCAGAAAAAGGAAATACAAGAACATCAGGGCCTCTGATTCATAGCTGCAAATGCTGGGTAGAGGCCAAGCAGGTTTATAGCTTTGTTTCCAGTTCACATGGTGGCAGACTTGGGTTTCCTGCCAGACAGTGGTGCTATCGGTATATTAATTTCTATTTCTAAGGGTCTCTAACAGTAAGAAGAACCAGGTATGTATACAGATAAATCTGGAGATCTCACAGATGCAGAAGCCTCTGTAACTTATGTTTCAGGGGTTAATTCCTGGGTTTATTATTTTCACAATAAACTTCTGAAGAAGTATAGAATTTCAATAGTGGATCAAGAACACAGGAAATTTGGTTTACCTCCTAAATCCAAAATGCTCTTTTTAAGGTGAACAAGTCAATCACTGCTTCTTAGGTTCTCACACCAAAAAAAAGGATACACAATACTTCCTCTTATCATACAAAAACTTCAGGAGGTCACAGAATCACAGAATGTTAGGGGTTGGAAGGGACCTCAAAAGATCATCTAGTCCAGCTCCACTGCCAAAGCAGGATCACCTACAGTAGATCGCACAGGAACGCGTCCAGGCATGTTTTGAATGTCTCCAAAGAAGGAGACTCCACAACCTCCCTGGGCAGCTTGTTCCAGTGCTCTGCCACCCTCATTGGGAAAAAGTTTCTCCTAATGTTTTTGTGGAACCTCCTGTGTTCCAGCTTGCAGCCATTGCCCCTTGTCCCATCATTGGACGTCCCTGAAAAGAGCCTGGTTCCATCCTCCTGACACTCACCCTTTCCATATTTATAAACATTAATGAGGTCAGCCCTCAACATCCTCTTCTCCAAGCTAAAGAGACCCAGCTCCTTCAGCCTTTCCTCATCAGGGAGATGTTCCACTTCCTTAATCAACTTTGTGGCTCTGTGTTGTACTCTCTGTAGCAGTTTGCTGTCTCTCTTGAGCTGAGGGGCCCAGAACTGGCCACAATATTCCAGATGTGACCTCACTAGGTCAGAGTAGAGGGGCAGGAGGACCCCCCCCGACCTACTAGCTACTTCCATTTTAATACACCCCAGGATGCCATTGGCCTTCTTGGCCACGAGGGCACATTGCTGGCTCATGGGCATCCTGCTGTCCACCAGGACCCCCAGGTAACTTAAAAAAAAAACAGCTCTAAGTAAACCATGCATGAAATATTTACATTCAATAACCCAAAGGAACTGTCATGTAGGAAACGAACAATGTATTGTTATTTACAAAGGTAAGTTCCTGTAGGCAGTTATTTATAATTATTTCACTTCATGGGTTATATTGCTGCAAACTTCAAATTTCTAAAAAATAAAAAGTATGCACCATAGAGAAAAACAAATAAAACCAAATCTCATCTCTTTCTTGATACAGACATAGTTACACCAAGTACCTTTGAGGAGGCACTGCTACCTGTTTCACTTGTTTCTTTTTTTTAATAGGAAGCAAGTTTTTATGTCTACTCAGGGTAAGTAATATTGTAGTTGTTCCCCAGTGCTGCAAGATTTGCTTATAGACAGTGCTTCAGGAAACACAAATCCATTGGACAGATACATTAAGGCTCATTTGTCTGCACCAGAGTCCTACTGCAGTGACCACAGGATCTGTGGAGATACATGAAACTACTTAATTTAAGAATTGGTAGCAGGCTAAAATTGAGGATGTGCATCCCTCTTGAAACAACATCAGTGATCCAAGGAGAGCAAGAACGGATCCGAAACAATGGCTCTGGAGACCATTTCCAGTGAATATGGCAATATTATTTTGCTTAGTAAATTGACTTTTCACCTCTGAATCTGTGGATTATCTTCCAACTAGGTCAGCAAGGTCGAAAGAATACATGAAAACACTAGCTAAAGCCATTCAGACAAGAGAACTGTATATAGCTTTCCACATTAATTTCTAACCACAGAGGCTAAAGCTGAAAAATTATAGTCTTCGTTATCTTACTCCACTCACCAGATGAGCGCTGCCAGAGTTGCGGGTTTTTTTTCCTAGTACTCACTATTACAGCATTTTCTAACACTTGAGAGTCAACGAACAGGAAGAAAAAAAAATTTGCAATGACTTTGGTGTAAGAGCTGCATGATGAGGCAAGAACACAACCAAGTCACTGCTGACCAGCTGGAGGAGGGGAACTGGTAATCAAGGCTGCCCCTCAGCCCCTTTTTGTCTAGAAAAGAAGCTTGCCACAGGCTGAGGGAGAAAGGGAGCAGTTTGCAGGTGCTATGTCTGTGCACTGAGACATCTCACAGTGAAAATGTAGCTTTCAATATCACCCAACCTTGCTGTGGTGACCTATGGGATAGATGGGCAAATGCTCTGTTCAGACTGGATGTCAGTACAGGGTATTGTTATGGAGGTTATGTTACTCCATCAGGACTTAAATGGCACTTTCACAACAGAGTACTGAAGAAAAGCACAGTTAACAGGCTGACTAAAATTTGCATTGAGAGAAATGAGAAAAATTGGATTGCTATATCAGGTCAATCCTGTGTAAGATTTAGATCTAAAGGGATAATCATTTGTGGGGGGGAAAAAAAGTATTCAGGCTGTTGGGCCTGCTACCAATGGCCTTTTTTAAAGCACATTTCACTGCTGGGTGGTTAAGTCATGTTAACATGCTGTGACTCCAGATACAGAGCCACAGTCTTCAATTGAGCAAGAAAAGTAAGTAAGGTTAGATTTTCCAAGCTAGGCTACAGATACCTATATCCAGAAAATACATTAAGAGGGGTTTTTTTCCAGTTTGATTATTTAAATTCTTATTTTCTCTTTTATAAGTAGGCAAAAAATTATACATCAACCTCACAAGTCTATTTCTGTAATGTAAAGAATTTTAATCAGATTAGTAAGACCAACAAATGTCATTCAAAACACTACTAATGTCTAACACAAAGGGACATGCACACTAGCGAAGCTGAAGAAAAGCTACATTTTAAAGCCTCATAACAGGACAAAAGTAGAAAGTTGCCCCCTAATTTTAAGTATACAATAAGAGTGCAATATTCTGAAGGAGATTGATTCTCACTTTTAAGCCTCTAAATTCAAAAGTATCAAAGACTGTAGCTCCCAAAACAAACGAAATTTCTTTAAAACCCAACCCACACTGTGACTAAGTAGTTTTCTGGGGGAAAATAAATGTACCCAATACGAAAATGAAAAGCCAGTTGTATCAGTGTGCCAGATTCTAAGACAGTATTAATTGGCACCTCTGCTTATTCTAATGTAAACCAGCTTGAACTTGGACCAGACCTTTTACGAACATTTGCAGAAGATTCCTGCAATAACTTTCATTCTCTTTCTGTGGACAGAGTCCACAGGACCAAGCACAACTCAGAAACTTAAACATAAGCATTGAGTAGTAAAAACTATGTTTTCTTATCCTTTTGTGTGGTCTTTTGTTGTACTAGCCAAGAATCACAGAATATCAGGTTGGATGGGACCCCAAGGATCATCTCGTGCAATCTTTATTCACGGTCTAGAAAAAACGACCCAGCACCCTGTCCAGCCAAATCTTAAAAGTGTACAATATTGGGTAATTCACCACTTCTCTGGGGAGACCATTCCAACAGTTGATTGTTCTCATTGTGGAAGAGAATCCTTTGCTTTTTCCTCGGTCCTTTTCTGACTTGTATCAAAGTAAATGGCAATATTACATCTGCTTTCAAGCAGAATAACCACCTACTTTGAAAAGGTTTTTGAGACACTCTCAAAAAACATGGGGAAGGGCCTACCCTTTGTTGTCTATATGCCAAATGCTGCTGTTATCTGTAGCAAAACGGCAACATTTTTTTCTTTCTTCCATCAGTAAAAATCAAGACAAGACGTCTAGGTTTGGATCAACTCAGAAAATAATGTGGTCTGAACTGAGTTGCCAGAACACATTTCATGATGCCCAAGAGATACAATCCAGAGAAGGCACTCAGCCTGTGAAGGATTATGGAGTCAGCTTAGGCAACAAGTTTAGGCAAATGCATTTATTGCTGGAGCAATTAAGGGGGAAATAAAATCCTCACAATCCAAAAAGTTTTTTAACCATCCATGAATTAAAATCTGACTTTAAACTTGTTCTACCCTATAAAGTGGTCAATTTGAGGACAAAGTTGCTGAAATTGACATTCTTTGTGTGACAAACTGATTTTCTAACATCTTCATTGATAAATCATTAAAAGAGACTCTAATGACACTAGAGGCTTGATTCTGCCAGAGTTTCAACTTCAGTTTGCCCTTAGTAAATGTTTGTTTAAAGCAAAAACAAAAGTGTATAACTCAGTACTGACATAGTACACCCAACCACACACTCAGATAAAAATAACAGTGTTTGGAACCATACAGGCACACCTAGAACTTATTAATACTTACCTAAAGATATTTTTATATGATCAGTTTTGTTCTGTCTCAGACACATGTCTATGATTTATTTTTTGCCAGCATCTTAGCACTGAATGGTTTTCCCTGATATGTTTACATAGGAAGCATAACTAATCTTGCAAATTGTCCTGGGGGGCATAGTCTTCACAACTAAGTGACAGTAATGTCACAAAACATCTTGTACTACAAAAAAGCAAGGATTTCTTCAAGTTACATAATGCCACTTTTAAGGATTTCAAGAATGTTCCTTGTCTGGTAGTAAAGTGATATTGTAAAACGTAAATTGTTTTGAGAATAAATACTCTTGTGGCCTTTTGTAAATAAGAACAGTTATATTTCAACTCAGTGGGCAACTGTTGCATGAGTAACATAACTCAAGTGGGAACACAGCTTCTGAAATAACACACCAGAATGTTTTCTCACTGTATGTTTAACTGATATCCAGGGACGTGCTTAACGTATTTGTACCAAGATTGTGAAATAACTATTTTCCCTTCATTCATGTTTGTTTACAATATTCATAGCCATAATCTCAAAAGTTATTTAAGCATTTAAAAATTAGTTAACAAATATTTATCTGTGGTTTAGTAATGTAAAAGGGTAACATTTACATGGAGAGTCCATAGTTTTTACTAAACTACCCATCAGCGCTAAGAAAATGCATAAGTTTTCAGTAACATAAGTCTAACACAGACAAAGCTAACTGCTGGCTCAGTGCAGACTGGTAACAATAGAACTGATTAACTTAATTATGTAAACAAACAATTAGAAAGTAAAGGTATTTGATGAGGAGAGAGAAAAGTTATCAGGGCATTTAAATTTATTTTATCTGGCATCAGTGTTACTTGACAGGTACCAATACAACACTCGTAGCACTATGATAAGCTTAAAATAGGTCACTGTCCCTGAAGACAGAACATGGGGGATATTTCCGTTTTCATTCTCCATAACATTTCCTGTTCTTAGTACAAAGGTATAGTAAAGTGACCACAAAAATCTTTTTCTAACAAAAAACCCCTGTCAAACATAGAAAGCATGTGACTGAGTTTCACTCAAGACTTGAATGATCAGAACAGTATGATCATAGCTGGTGTGAACTAAATCATGCTGTATTAAATTTTCTGTGGCATAATAGAGAATCATTCAGATCATTTTAATCATCAGTAAGGTTACATTTAAATTACAGAAGAATCAAAATCATCTCTTTTTTAAAGTACTGAATACAAAAAAGTAGTTCAGGACCTTGTATCTGAAGAGGAAGCACTCAGGCTGGAAGCATCAACAGGCGTCTGCAAGCTAAGGTTGCACGCTGTTGAAACCTGATGAGCAGGAGGTGAAATAGGTCCCAGCTGTTGAACTGTCATGGGACTGCTGGTGTCTATGACATTGCTGCAGCTGCCTTTTCCAACGGACTTGCACTGGGGTCCATAACCATGACCTCCTAAAAATAAACAAGGAAGGTTAGTATTCATTTCCCATGAGCCCACAAAGAGGCCACAAAACTCACATCACTTTAAAAAGTAGGAAAAGCAGCTGGAGTCGAGTATCTTCATAGGAGGATGAAACCGGGGACCAATACAATTTTTCAAACTTCTCCAAACACAAAAAGCAATATTCCAAAGAGGAATTAATAAACTGTGTGTTGAAGTACACAAACTAAAGACCAGGCATCATAGATAAAACATCACAAAAAACACAGCTGGAAGGGTCTAGGTACAGGAGCAGCCCACAGCTGAGAGACAGCCAAGCCACAAGCCTACCTTTCTTTGAAGAAGGAGGCAACAGAGAACCCAAGGAGGCCACAGGAACACCATTGTGCCTTGAAACCTATCACAGCCCGCAGCTCCCAGTGACTGCAATCCTTTCTACCACTCCTACCACTAGCCAGCCAAAAAACAAGGGGGATGCAGGCATGCATGCAAACTGCAACCCCTGCCATGGTGATGCAGACAGCCTGGGGAGCTTCCACAGGAAGTGAGAGTGACAGCCGGAACCCAGCATTCCTCAGAGGCCTGGGGAGAGGAATTTGAGCTGGATCAAGCAGAAAAGCATTCTAGACTTCCTTTAAAAGGCCACAATCTGCTCTTAATCACTGCTGCCATGACTCAAACTGACGGCAATTACACAGTAGCACGAGATGATTACAGAGAGAGCTGGCAAGTGGGACATATCTGCAAGACACTCTGTGTACTTTCTGTTCTGATTTAGGTTACAGACAGTGATTTACAAGATCTTCTGTATTAAAACACATCAAGATGAAAAAGTTAAAATGCAGGTCATCATATGGAAGTTGTTGACTATCTAGCAAATTCTCATCACAGCTGAAAATTAATAATTAGATGATTCACATTTCTAACTGCTTCCCTATGTTCACGCTTTCCCCAAAGCAGGACTGGGACAAAGAGTGTAAAGTACTTCAATTTAAAACATTTTCTGAATTAAATCTACTTTTGACTTGATTGTCCAATTCATATACTGATATCTCCCAAGGATGTTGAAATAGACTGTGAAATACATTAAGTACTGTGGCCCTCAGTCATAGGAAGAAAATCCAAATCCTTCAATATCCACCAGATCAAATAGGATTATCTTAAAAATTTGCAATTTACCCCCAAAACTGCAGATTATAACTTTTCTATTTTTAAAAAAATAAAAGAACAAATAGATAAGTTTATTGCTGTTTCAGAGGTCTGTGCCTTCTTTTCTAATAATTTTTCTTCTGTTTGACTAATTAGTAATATCTCACATATATTTAAGGAGCATATGCGTGATTCTCAGTCCACTAAGGTCCTAAGTGCTTTATAAATTATACACAGATGTTACAAGCTGATGGTATGATCCACCACCAAAATGTACTCCTTTGGATGAAATACAGCATGCCTTCAAAAAAACTACTTACCATTGCTGCTGCTATAAAACTTAAGGGAAGAACGGAGTGTGTCGATGATAATTCAAGGCTAAGGAAAGAAGAAAGCATCCTGAAATCTAGCTAGAAGGACGGGAAATTTCCAAGGACAAACATGTAAGGAGATCTCGTTGTACTGCACTCAACTCCTTGTGGGTAATAGAAAAAAACTTTTTTAAAATTTGTAGGATTACTGTCTACTCTCACTAAAAAAGTCCAATTAAATCAAAAGAGTAAGAGAAAGCATTTTATTTTCTTCCCTGTGAAGCTGTTTATATTTTGAACTCACTAAAGCTGAATCAGTGTGCTACCCAGCAGTTGCCTTCATAATGCCAGAGTGCTAAAATGAAACCAACCAGCAAAAATTAGGTAAAAAGCAAAGTTGCCCCTGGTAATAACATAAACATTACTCATGTTAGCAAAAGGCTGGGTGGGGTCAAGTTAAAAATTTACAGGACACAGTCACATCATATAAAATACATAATATGTCAATGTGTGTGTTTATATTACATATGTTCAGTTAGCTATTTTTCAGGAAAAGTGTTTTTAGCATGTAGAACCAAAGACTGTCTGCATCAAAGGATGTAAAAGACAGAGAAGCATGCTATAATGCAAAATCTACTGATTTTCACACTGAAATACTGCTGTAATGCTTATAGAGCCTATATATATATATATAAAAGATGTAAACCTATTATTTATCACTGACAAAAGCTATATCACAAAAATGTACCAGATATATACTGATTCTTCCCTGGATGACATCATAATGTCCTTCACTCTTAAGCCTCTTTCAACAAATTTCAAGGGTAACAATAACAGCTACTTTATCACATCCAGGAAATCATGGACTCTGCACTTGTAAGATTTTCACTCAAGGATAGGCAATACGTCAATTCAAACACCAATCTGCAACCATATAGTGAAAATGCTATTTATACATGATTAAACCTGAGCTCTTTGCAACTTACATGTCAGGAAGAAAAATTCCAAATGCAAAAGAAAAGGCAGTAGTGTCAAACTAATACTGTTTAAGTAGAGAATGTTGAATCCTCCATATATCTGGGTTTCCTTCTCAATTATAAGGCCTGCTTTTACCATCTGTGCATAAACAACACCTCAGTGATGCTGCAAATTGGTAAGAGAATTTGTTGTGTAAGGATAAGGATGGAGGCCAAAGACTGTCTGGTCACTGGTTATTGGAAGGAAAAAAATTAGAAAAGGAGTACTTTGGAGAGATTGTATTTCTGGAATGACAGACAATCCAGTCCTGATCAACATTTGCCTGGGCATTTCTCTGATGTAAAAGTGGAAGAAAAAGGTTTTGTTCCTTTTATCATTAACAAAGCTTTGCTCTTATGGGGAAAAAATGGCAATCCTTCCACTTAAAAGGCCAGTGTGAGGGAGAGAGATTATCAGGAAAGAATCTATCATCACCTCCCACTGTGGAAAGAGACCGCAAAGTGAAAAAAGACTACTGCTATGGAAAACAGAGTCATAACATTTTATCTATGGTTTCACACAGGTGTAAATGTGCAAAAAGACCATCTCTGCCTTTCAGGTCACTGAGCGCTGAATAAGTGTGAACTTGCAGAATGACTATATCCCATATCAGCATTTGGCATCAGATACCTGCTGTCCAAGAGGAGGCCTCAGTCCAGGTTTGTTGTACCATTAGAATCACAGAACAGTTTTGGCTGGAAGAGACCTTCAAGATCATTGCATCCCACCTTTGTCCCAGCCCTGTCAATATCACTAAAACATGTCCCTCAGGACATTTATCTGTCTCTTAAACACCTTCAGTGATGGCAACTCAATCACCTCCCTGGGCAGGCTGTTCCAATGCCTGACAACCCCTTCAGTAAAGAAATTCTTCCTAATATCCAACCTGCCCCTCCTCTGGCACAACTTCAGGCCATTTCCCCTCATCCTATCACTTGCTACTAGGGAGAACAGACCAACCCCCGCCTTGCTACAGCCTCCTTCCAGGTAGTTGTAGAGAACAATAAGGTCTCCCCTCAGTCTCCTCCAGGCTAAACAGCCTCAGATGCCTCAGCCATACCTCGTACAACACATGCTCCAAATCCTTTACCAGCTTGGCAGCCACTTCTCTACCCTCTCCAGCACCTCAGAGTCCCTCTTGTAGTGAGGGGCCCGAAACATGACAAAATACTCAAGCTGAGGCCTCACCAAAGCTGAGCACAGGGGCATGATCAACTCCCTGCTCCTGCTGACACCATCATTCCTGACACAGGCCAGGATGCCGTTGGCCTTCTTGGCCACCTGGGCACACTGCTGGCTCATATTCAGCTGCTGCCCATCAACACCCCAGGTCCCTCTCTGCCTGGCAGCTCTCCAGCAAGTTTAGGCTGGACATTAGGAAGAAATTCTTCATGGAAAAGAGTGGTCAGACACTGGAATAGACTGCCTAGGGAGGTGGTTGAGTCGCCATCCCTGGATGTGTTCAAGCGCCGTTTAGATGTGGTGTTGGGTGATATGGTTTAGGGGTGAACTTGTAGTGTAGGGTTAATGGTTGGACTTGATGATCCCAAGGTTCTTTTCCAACCTGAATTGTTCTATGATTCTATGATTCTATAGTTGATTAACATGCAATTTATTTCAAATGAATGTATTACACATAAATCAAAATTGCTCTTTATCATTAACTAACAGTAATGGTTAACAAGTATAAACAGTAAAAATATTTTATGGAACTATATCCATATACTTCCTCATTTGTTAGCTTGCCTATTTTCCTTGTTTATTCTCTATAGCTGGTTAATAGCTAAGCTTCATTCATCCCTGACATGCAAAAAAAAAAAATCACTGTAATCTTCTACAGAACATTCAAAGAATACAGGAAAATACAACTACTTTAATTTCACTTAATTTACACGTAATTTCAGATGAGAAAAATTATCAGATCCCTTGAAACAGTCTGTAAGTGTGTTAAAATAGAGCTTCAGAGGGGAAAAATAAAAGAACGGGAGGAAATTGCCATTTGTCTCTATTAGCATAGGATCAGTCAAAATATTTTTCTATTTGGGAATCTGGGCTTCTTCACACTGGTATCATCTTCTGAGCCCAAGCATTTTCGGGGACACACTAAGGCTTTTAGGTGAACTACACAAAAATTCAGTCAAAATTACATTAGGTATAAGCATTTTTTATATGGCGTGGATCTGGAATTTTTCAGGGTACAAGTAAGTTACCAAACTATGGCTCATAGATTTACCAAATTATGATTTTTATGCAAGTCTTACGAAATACAGCAGTTTCCCAACTTCATGACACCCACACAGACACTATACATAAGTGAAACAGTGGTTCTTGTAGTTTATTTTCTTTAAAAATAAAATCTAAACAAATGCAGGCTTTGTAACTAGAAAATTCCAAAATTAAGATACTAAAACCTCACTGCTTTCAACCTCATGATCTCATGCTTTTCTTAACACTTAAAATTAACAACGCCTTGTTAGTAAGAAATTTCCTCCAAAGCCTCTGGCAGTGTCGACTCTAAACAGCAAGTTAGACAG